GTGGTACATAAAGACAGCCAAGCCTGTGCAGGAAATAGCAACCGCGTGTGGGCTACTTTGAGGTTCGGTGTCGAGTTCCTTGTGATTATCTGGCTTGTGTTCAGGATTATGCAGTTGCCCAAGGCATCCTAAGCTCAGGACATAGAAAGTCCAGGATCAGCATATTATTGGTTGGCAAGAGCTGACTTTAGCAGAACTACCCCACAGACAGTGCTGTGTGGGAATAGGGGTGAGACACGCCCCTCCAAAGGAAATGCTGAACAGTCTGTGGCTGACCTACCTTCCCAGGAGGAACATGGCCTTGGCTGAGAGCAGCATGCAAGCCAAGGGCCACCACTAGTGGGCTTCTGTCCTCACCTCCAAACAGTGAAACAGAACGGTGCGGGAGGGCCCTCCTTATCTTGCTTAGAGCTGCTTCCCAAACCCCCAAGTCTGGCCTGGCTACCAGCATCAGCACATACAACACATGTGCACACACAGACACACGCATGGATTCCAGCTGTAAGGGGATAGTAGCAGCCTTCAAATCTGCAGAGCTTTCTGATTTTAGTGAGGAAGAAAGATGTTGCCAATACTTTTGCATCAAAGAGAGAGAAACTTGCTAATTGAAAAATGGTGTGTGCAGAAGAAAATATGGAGATGCCAGCTATGTAAATTAGCATATGCCCAGAGCTGAGGGAAATCGTGCCAGGCCGGGAGGAAATTAAGCAAATCCGGAGAATGAGGAAACAACCCAGGAAGCAAATTGAAAGTGCTGGTATGCTCTAGTCTGTCTCTGGAGGGTGGCGGCGGTGAGTTGAGAGGTGATGAGAATAAGTGTTGGGGAGTCCCGGTGTGTCAGTGCCATGGGGGAGGGGCTTGCTCTCCCTCTTTTCATGCAGGCTCTTAAAAGCCTGGGCTTTATTAACACTGCTCCTCTGCTTCAGGGATCTGGAAGCCCCTCCCGATGCCCACAAGGAACACTAGGCTTGACCTAAAGCTTTACTAGCTCACGGACATCTCAGCCCTGCTCTCATGCTAGTTTCCCAGGGCCAGACTGGGTCTCAGAGCTCAGACTCTGGCCAGTCGAGAGCCCATCGGAGTCCGAGGGACTAGGGACTGCGGCGGGGAGGACCAGAGTCTGCAGCTGGGAGGATCAGAGTCTGCGGCCTGGAGGATTATCCGCGAGGCCGGGACGGGCGCCACCTGGCGGTGACTGCGCGCAGCTTAGTTCTGTCCCCTCCAGATGCGGGAGCTCTGGGTCCAGCCAGGGTCCTAGGAGTTAAGCTGTGTCCATGGCCCCGGCAGCTCAGGGTGTAGCGGCAGAGGCCACGTGTGGTGCGGGGTGGAGAAGCACAGGCCCTGCCTGGGGGAATACAGGCCGAGTTCACAGGGCAATCCTGCCTGCCAAGGGGAGACATCTTGTGCAAAGGCCCTGAGGCCACCTGCCTGATGCCTTGCACCTGCGCGAGGGTGGGGTAGGGACCACTGAGGCAGAAGAGGACGCCGAGGTCAGCAGGCATGTGGGATGCAGAACTTTAGGCACCAACGGCTCAAGTTTCTGGCCATGGGGACCTGCCAGTTTGCGTAAGAGAAATCTACCCGGCCTGAAAGTGTCCAGGGGCCCTCCTGACGTCGGGACGGGCAGTCTATATCCCTCCAGGACTTGCGTCTAGACTCAGACGTAGCCAGGTGGAGCGCGGCCCGCGCGCGGTCCCCGGGACAGGCCGAGCTCCAGCGCCGCCACCTCGGCATCTGCTAGCTATGGAGTGCGGGGCCGGAAGCCGGGCCGACTGCAAGCGCCTCCCTAGTGGTCTGCACCATCCGTGAGGGCCAGAAGCCACCAGCGGCAGGTCCGGGGCCCCGGCAGGAGGGATCGGCAGATCTCGGCCCGGCGCGCTCTTCCCGGTCTCGGTTCCCAGGTCCAGGGACGCAGGCAGGAGGTCGCCGGGGCTGGGGGCGCCGAGGTTGGGGGTTGCGGCCGGGGGGAGGGGAAGGGAAGGAAGGCGGGGGCAGGTGGTCAGAGTAGGGGAACCGGACCGGCTCCGGGAGAGAGGTGCGGCCCCGGGGATGGCAGGGCGGGGGCGGGGCCCGGGGCCGGGGGAGGGAGGGACTTGGGCCGAGGTGGGGAGGTGCGGCAGGGGCAAAGGGTTGGAGGGGGTCAGATTGGGGGAACCGGACCAGCCGGGGAGGGGGGGAAGGTCAGGGAGGGGGTCAGAGTGGGGGAACTGGACCGATCCCTGGAGGGAGGGGTGCGGCCGGG